GTTCAAATCATCACCCATGTGATTAAGATAAGGAGTTATTGGGTAGACTCGCCCACGAAAATCCATACTATGCGGGAAAAAGAGCACATTTCCTTTGCAATGATTCGCCATCGTTAACCGATAAAGCAACCAACACCACAGTGAATTTAATTCATTTCTGAAAACAAAAAACTTATTCACAACATCACGGAAAATCCGTAAAAAGCTGGCAGAAAAAGCCTGTCCAAAAAGAAGAAGGAAGTATACTGTCTATGGGAAGCAACCATAAAAAAGATTTGAAATGGCAATTACTAAAGCTCGGCTCGGCTGCCAATAAGAGACGCTCTAGATTCTCTGCCAACGCTATTTCGCCGCGTTGCTTTTCGACACCGCTTGACACTTTGCCAACGAGAGCTAAGTAGCTCCACCCAGTTGAACGTGGTTGAGGTGATGGTTGGTGGGTGCCCAGATGCCACTCTGAAGGGAAGGATTGGTGACACAGTGAAGGAGGGAGCTACAAGGATGCTAGTCAGGAGTTCAAGGCAAGAACTGGAGACAGCAATAAAATGTCCCTATCTGTTTCCCCTCTTCTCTTTTACCCCTTCCAAACCAGTCAAACTGCCCAGGCCGAAAAAAAAAAAATCTTATATTTCTAGTAGAAAAAAAGCAAAACTTAAACATAAGGTTAAAAGAACCAAAATAACTTAGAAAAAATAACTTAGAAAGATACCGATTTGTCATTCAGCGGATGTTACTTTCATTCTCTGGCTACTACTGAAAGTCCAATCCCCCATCAATACATGGCCGAAATGGGGCACTGTACTGATGATTCCCACCCCGTTTCACACCATTTTAGTCATGTGTGTTTACAGTTCAGGGATGAAACACAGACGTCATCCAATGCAAATACCGACTAGCTTAAATGAGGTTGTATAATTTGGCTTCTTCGAAAATATCAAACAAACAAAGTCGACTGTCCCATTCCTTTTTCTTCTTGTCGTTGCACCTTGTCAGCAGCAATGCTACACTTTCCAATACTACTTAATCCGTTGCTGCCCTGCAAAAATGGTACCTTTTTTTGAGTGCCTCATATTTTGCTTTTGAATATTTCCTCCATTCCTCAACTGGTAGTTGTTCCACTTCCATACGCCCGAAGGTTGCAGTGTAGTCCGGGATCGCGATACAGCCCGAATGCAGCGGAATTGCAAGTTTCTCCAAGAATTTCTCATTTTCTTTCTTTCGAGCCATTTCAAAAACCTGATTTATTGAAATAACCAGTGGACACTAATGCAATAACCAGTGATCATTATCTAGCGCCAACATCAGGCAGGACAACGGTAAAAACCATTAGGGAAAACAAATACTAATGAGCGAAAAAAAATGTGCAAAATTTTCAAAACTTTGGAAGATTTTTGAAAAAAATTTTTGGGCCTTGATGACCGCTACTCCTGGTACTTAATGGACAGTAAAAAATTTCATAATCCATCATACCTGAAGAGCAACATCAAGAACCGGTTCGTTGATTTTCCACGGTGTTATGCCCAAATCATTCAGTGCATCAAAAACTGGTCGGGCTTGTTTTCTAAAAAAAAAAAATGAAAGTTAAAAATACTTTTTTAGGAAGAAAGTAAAAAAAAAAACTAAGAAAGCTGGAAAAAAAGGAAGGGGAAGAAATGTTGGAAAAATTTACCGAGATTTTAGCCGTTTCCTCATTTCGTAGTTTACATTAATCATTGGATAATCGGGAT